GGAGGAGCGGGGGCACGGGAAGGGGAGGAAGGGGGAAGGAGAGCCAGCCTGAAAGGATTGGAACGGACGGGTGAGGGGACGGGACGGGGGCAAGTGGGGACGGGGCCAGGGGGGACGGGGAGAACTGGGGGAACGGGGGGGAACGGGAGGGACGGGAGGGACGGGAGGGACGGGAGGGACGGGAGGAACGGGAAGGACGGGAGGGACGAGAGGGACGGGAGGGACGGGAGGGACGGGACGGGAGGAACGGGAGGAACGGGGGAAACGTGGGAGCCGGAGATGGGGGGAACGGGAGTGGGGAAAGCGAGAGATTTGGGTGCAGCTGCGAGCTGGAACGGAAGGAAGGCGTGCTAGAGCGGGGATCGGACGGGGGGGGTAAATGGCAAGGATGGCTTTCGCTGCTGGTGGACACTTCGCTGCCGGCCCATGGCTCTTCGCGCCCGTTGCCCCCCTCCGTACATATTTGTCTGTTTATTGTATGTTCTGTTCTTGCGATGATTATTTCCACCCGTATAGTCAGGGTCACTGAATGCATGTACCGTGCGTTCAGTGACCCTCTCTTCTCTCCTTCGCTATTCCCATCCTTTGTTTATTTCTATGCAACAGGTGTCGAGCGGGCAGTACATGACTTGAGCGTCCCTGTAGGTCGACGATTGATGATGACGGAAGCACAGGCGCAGCTTGGGATCGACCATCATCCTACTACTACCACAACCACGTCCACTTCGATCGTGCACCGCGCGCCTAGTTCCTAGCAAACAAAAATCAAAGGAAAACGGAAGATAACGTTCGGGAAAGCTTCGCGGTATTTACTGAGTACTGGGTGCCGTCTTGGTCAGCTCTTGTAAACTCCTTGCCCACCGCCATGGCCCCAACATGGATGGTGTAACACCCAGCCTCTGCGCTGCAATATTGCTGAAGCAGCGACGTGTCTGTAGTCCCCACCTGCTTTCCGCCTGTATGCTTTCTGCCTCTACTGTGCGGATTGTTGTTTTAAGATACGCTGACGGTTCAAATATTAGTCTGTAAATTTCGGTTTACTACTAGTGACGGTGGATTTCTTCGTTTGTTGGGTTTCCTCCCGATCTGTCTTTCGTTATCTGCTTTCTATCGCGTTTGCTTGAGAATTTTCTGAGTCCTGCATATTTATGCATTTGAGTCCTAACGAGTGAGTGGCCACTGAATGACGCCCGAGTCAATTGGGCCAGCGCATACATGCAAGGTACGAAAAGAGACGGGAATGATTTTATGTGAACGCAACAACACCAACACCAACAACAACAACAACAACAACAACAACTGTTGGCGTATTGGTTTTTCGTTTGTTTCCTGGCTCGGTTTCCTCGCGTTGTAATTACGGCGTTGTAATGACTTTTCACCCGCCTCTTTTGTCTACGGAGTACCCTTGCCAACGGGACCCTCCCGAACATACATAGCGCCCCCATCACGACAATTCTTTTAGTTCGAAGTACGGGCCGAACCTGGTACGTGTGTACCTATTGAATCACACATCCATACTCCTGGCGTGTAGGATCGACTTGCTTTGAGGCACGTAAGCGTGCTTGCTTCCGAAACCGTGCTTGAAAGGGCCAGCCACCCTCGCGACAGCCTGCAAACCAGCACCACAATGACCACAACCAATACATTCCAAAATATTCTGAGCTGCCGTCACCGGGCGCCTGACACCCGTCGCTCGGTTGGGTTGTCAGTTGCAATATGACACACGAGCCCGCACCCCCATCCAAGCCCGTCGCGGCAAATGTGCTGGAACTATTGGAGGCTCCGAGAATAGGGTAATCTCTTCGTGGGCGTCTTGAACACCACACTCGATATCGCCGCCCGGAACCGCCAAGGGAAGACCGAAGAGTCGATCCCTGTGGTAGGCACACCGAGGCAAGTGACCGCGCAATAGCTACCATCGCTGAGTCAGCGCGTTCTACGCGAATTAAAAGAGAAGGCGCCGCCTATGATCCTGGGAATATAAACTTCAGGTTAGACTCGACTTGGCAGCTCTAGGATTCTTACCTTTTAGGAACAGTGTCTCAGTCGAGTGTTCCAGTACTGCACCCTGCCTGTTAGATGATGTTGGGCTACAGCAAGACGGAGGAGCCAAGGAATCGAGCCTCAGGCGAAGCAAGAGGTGCTTAGAAGGTGGCGCTTTCCGCATGAGAAGAATGCGCAAAGCACGCTCATTCTGCCAGCGAAACAGTACAAAAAGAGAGATGCCATCCAATTGACGCACCGCGTGTAATGTGGTGGTCGATCCTACAATCGAAAATACGCAGAGGCAGACCGCCGACACAAATTGCTGAAAGAGCTGTGCTTCGATGTTACATAGGTGGAAGCTGGTAGCACCGTGGATACCGCAAGAACAACGCACACGCACATACACAAGCTTCTCGAATTTTTCCTCTCGTCTTTCCTTGGCCAGCCGGTTAGCGCGGTCCATGTTACCCAAGAAAAATGAGCACGCCTCCGCGAAAATGCAAACAAACGAAGCACACGCACCTATGCACACCCGTGTAGAACGTGTACATAACGCCAGAGATAGACTACTTGTACCCCGTTTATATCTTCCTGCCGGCCGTCCCTCCTCCCCACTCCCAACTGACCAGGGAAGGGCCAACAAGCATTCCATGTCTTCCCGTACAGAGACGAATCATTATAGTTATTGGTCAGCCGGGACTGGCAAACCACGCAGTAGGTAAACACACAACCTAATAAAAAACTAATGAATATAAACATATACAAAAACACAGCACATGAGAAACACAGAACAACGTAAATACATTTAAAAGGCGAAAATAACGGTCCACCACACAGCCACTGACAGCACCCAACACAAGCAAGCGCCACCGACGCACCCAACCGCACATGCCCACCGCCTGCCACTGGTCTTCACGTGCATCTGACTTTCGAGAGCAAAGACGAAACATCTCAAATATTCGCGGTGATCAAGTCCATCGGAGCACGGAAAGCGCACACGAAACACGATAAACAAAAGTTACTGCCGAATGATAAATCGGGAGTGCAGCTACATCCAGTCCTCCGGGACACCCCTCGGATTCTCAACAAGGGATTTTGGGCGGGGGCTCCAGAGAAGGCGTCGTGCCCGACTTACTGTGAATGGGACAAAACGGTAGCGGCACCCTTCCCGCCTATCCTCTGCCGGAGAGCGCCCTAAAGACCAAACACTCAAAGAGACGAACTCACAAAAAAACATAGCAGGGGGCTCGCTCTCTTAATGATAACAAAATCACAGTTGACACCGCCGCACCGTCACCCCAGGGGTTACTCTATTCTCACCGTGAACGTCCCCTTCGACTGCTGTGGTTGGGGTAGTCTTAATGTATTTTTGCATGTTTTCCAAAATCAAGATCTCCTTCCGGAGCCGGTAAAAGAGAGCATTGCTGCAGAGCGTGATGCGAGAACATGCCAAATAGCGAGCACTGTTCAAACCGACAGCGAGGACAAATCAGTACATAGTGATACACCCAAAAACAATTTCTTGAGATTCTTGACAAAAAAAGACTGTACAAATCAGTACATTGTCTTACGTCGTGATCCCGGCCTATCAGCCGACCCCAAAGAACGCATACTGAGATGCTGGGGGAAGAGAGGCGGTCACATCAAACGCCGCCCGGGCTTCAGTGACATGGCTATGGGTATCTGGTTCGGTCTCAGGCTGGTCAAAGTTGGACAAAAGCGGCATCGCCTCCTCGTGTCGGTTGTGCTGATGCACCTGCTCTCACACGGCAAAACGTCAGGATGAAGGGAAGGCGCGCGCGGGGGGTTCAACTTTGTTTTCTGTCTTCAACCATGCCCATGCGCGCACGCGATTGTCAATTTCATGGAAATCGTAATTTTTTCTGTCGGTATTTTCTCACAAAATGCGTCAGAGAGAACTACAAGGGATAACGACAGGGTGAACGAGAGGGAGAGGGCACCCGTGATAAAACAGGTCCCCCGTGCCGTGCCGTGCCGTGCCGAAGGAAGCTTCCCTTTGGTTGCTCCTAGAAACATCGCAGGCATCACACGCCTGCTGGTTGCTCCAAAAAAAGACTCGGACATCACGCCTGATGTTAAAAATCCGTTCAATGCCATTTGTTAGTTGGCATGGCCTGAACACAGCCACGAACGAGTGTTCCGGTCCTGTCGCCTCGAGATTTCGGATCAGTGGCTCCACAAACGGATCGACTGCAAACCTGGGGTTACGGGTTCGGTTCTCGAGTACACCATCCATTGAATGAGCCACGACCACAATACACCTGAGCACTGCTGGGCGCGGGCAAGAGTACCGTTGAGTTGGAGGTGCTTTCTCCCGAAACCTACCGATTCCCCGCGTGTCTCGGGGACTCCGGCCAAACCGTCATATGACGAACAAGAACAACAAAAGCGCGATACAACCGTGGAGCAGCAAAGAAGACGCTGTGATGATGATCCCCATGCGCTGCTTGCTTGCCTGCTTGAGGGCGGCGACGGGGCTTATCGTGCCCGCCAGGTTGAAGAAGGTCCCGGTGCCGACCAGAATCCCAAGGCCCACCGCAATATACCCAAGATCCCGAAGCGCGCTGTCGGGTATGTAGTCCCCCTCCCACACGTACCTACACATTTCGACGCGGACACGGCGAGGGGGCGTTTCGCATCATTCGACCATGGACTGCGCATCACTCGGGAGGAAGGGCATCACCGTATCACCGCTGTTGCTGATCGAGTTGAACTTCCCCCTCCAATGTCCAAGTGCTCTTCCTAGGGAGTAGAGCCGTACATTGACCAAAACGATAAAAAAACGTCACGATGTAAACAAAACTAGCAGGGACAAAACTAGCAGGGACATGGTGCAGGTGTTGTCGGCTTCAAGATCTCCAAGATGTACCTGGAGGTTTCGCACACATGGGAGAGGGCCGAGGCACGGAAGCGACACGGACTCACCGTGTTCCACGCCTCTTCCGCGAGTGCTGAGGACTGACAGACTGGGGACATGTCAATACTTCCCGTCAACGCCACGAAAAATGGGGGGACTGTCGCCACAATAAATACGACGATAACAACAATAACAACGCCACATGCCAAAAAAATATTGTACCTGTGTACGCACACCTTTGTATTTTGCGTGCATCGTTCGACGGGCGGTGGCGCTGCGGCCGGCAGCTAACCTACGAGGAACCGTGTTATTTCCCCATGAAACGAAAACCTTTACACGCCATCGCCAACACCACCCCCGTCCAAGCGATAAACACCTCCCACGAGTCCCCTCACCACTCTATCCCCGTCCACGCAAACACCACTCCCGTGAGCTCCGCCGCCGTCGTGACCCACCGCGGGACTTCAACGCAGCCTCTCCCCCTCCGCCTCGAGCCCGCCCCTTCCCCCCCGCACGGGCTGCGAACGTTGCCGCCGCCAAAGGACGTCGGGGCGGCTACCAGCCGACTACAACCAGGGCACGAGAGGTCGTTGACGACGACGTCTAGCAACAGCGGCGATGATGAAGGCGCCCTGAGATCGGGGTTACTGCTGCTCGCGTCCCATGCCGCGGTCTCTATCGTGCAGGCTGCCGGCCCAGCCTGAATATCCACCGCGGGGGGCACTGCAGAATAGAAAATTCATGAGGATGGCGTACGGTTACTCTGGAAACCTTGGGGGCGGGGGGATCCGGTCGTTTGGCGCATTCCCTCGGATTTCGGGGGGTGGACGTTGCACCTCCTCGGAGTTAACGACCTACAATACATACATGTGAGAGGCCTTCACCCGTCTGGGTGTGGGACATGTTGGGGATATACGAAAACAACTCAAAGCAACACCAGCACCAGAGTACCAGAAGAGACCCAAACATACATGTACCGCAACATCGACTCACAGCCGTCTTCAAGCCCGCTGTTCATGGACAGCCTATCGGTGGCGATGAGGATCGAGATCCCGATCACGAAGAACACAAGCCCGGTCCAGTCCTTGTTCGGCCCGTTGTCCTCGATGATCTGTACTCGGATACATGTCGCGTTTTGGTATCGATTCACTTGATCCATGGCTTGGCTTCGCCCAACCTTGACGCAAAATTGTGTTCTTTCAAATGCATTGTGAAAGCTTTATTGATTGTCGCAGTCGCGCCAGCCGGAATAGAGTGCAAGACGCTCCAGATTGGGGTTCACATCTAGCGGGCTACGGATGACACCATGTATGGTTCCGTCATCCGTAGTGATAAATCATTTCGAACGTTCGATAAACCTTTTCGAACGGTCGATAACCGTTTCGAACGGTCGGTAAACCGCCTCGACCGAATCATATCCGACCCGCTGCAAGGTCTCCTTGCCTCAACCTGCGGAAGAAAGCCCGATCCGGGGTTCGCACAGCCAACAATTCTTCTGTGGCGTATTCCTAAAAATTTGATGCAGTGAGCTTGTCTCACTTCGAGCCCAGGGAACACCTACATCTCTCGCGTGCTTCGAAATCTTGCCATGTATGCGCAGCAGCCCGACGGAGCAGTCTGTGTTAAACCCGGGGCGGTTGATTCATTTCAGAATGGTCCATGCCATCAGTTTCCGGCCTTCACCCAAGCTCGTGACACAGACAAAGGAAACGCATCCCCAAGACACTCTCTGGCAGTTCCATTCAGTGTACTGTTGTATGATACGAGTCTCCTGGTTGGTGCACACCTCGCCGATACTCGGGCATTTCATACGAAGAAATTGGTCCATTTTTGTTGCGACGTGCCGCAGACTCGGTATAGTGAGAAGGTTGGCTACGACACTGAAGCAAGTCAGGCGAGAAAAAAATACGCTGGCACCAGCAACATCAGCAACAGCAACGTAGACGAGGTGGCAGAAAGATCACCACCACCACCATCAACAACAACACCGACAACCACAACCCGTCGAACGAGAGGACTCACTTCTTCCACACCCTTCCAGAACACGACACCGCACACGTTGCAGAACAGCGCCTTCGCGTAAAGCCTGCCCCTGTTGCCCGGGCCGAGCCTGGACGAGCGCCCGCCCGACCGATTTGCTTCCCGACAAAGCAAGAACCCGAGCGATTGTTGTGGGGAGGCGTTAGACGTGTGTGTGCCACCATGACGAACCAACAAGAAGTAAGCATCAAATGGTGAAAAACAAACCAGAGGGGGCGAGGAAGGGGAGAGTAAAATGGCGAAAATGACAGCGAGAAAAGAGAGAGAGAGGGCGGGGGGGGGGGGGGGGGGGGGT